TTTACTGACCATGAGGGGTTCTTAGCGTTCTTGACATGTTTCTGGGTTGCAGTAGCAGATAACTGCTGTTCAACCCCGCAGTTCTCGTGCCGAATGTTACCTCAAGAATGATAAATTATGGGCGTCTGTCAGAAAGTCTCAAGTCACTCCAATCGGCATCTCCCGCTGCCCGTGCGAAAGCACCTACGTCACCCTTACCCTCTAGCCTCAATGGCTGTGCCGTAGCCATCTAGCAGAGGGTTAGTGACATTTTGGTAGCATGAAGTTTCAGCTGGTCCTCTTTCCGCGCACTCAGATTGTCCAAGCTCTATGACCATCCAGAGCAGAAGGATGGGATTTCATGGAAACAGCTTCCAGCGTCTTCTGAGACTCACGTCAAGTTCAGGTGCTCACTAGTAATTCAGCTACATCATCTACACCTCAGCTGAACCATATGGATTGTGGAAAACAGCTCAACAGAAGGAGGAGAGCCTCACAACCCACCTTTTTTTGAATTTAAATGAAAAGTTTATGCTCCATTGTTTTTTCTGACTGAGACACGAGATTTGCATAAGATCACTTTTTTACACAAAGAGCGGAGTACTGTATGTAATGTAACACAAGCACAGTAGAGTAGATCAAATCAACAACATTTATCAACAAAACAGTAACATAATCAAGCCTTCTTTTGAGCCAATCGTCTGTCCCTTTCTTCTGCAATGGTAAGACGGATACCCTTAGAAGCAGGCAGAGATACCAGAGCTTTGTTGCCCTTGCCGATAACGAACACGTTTGACACACTATAATAAGTGCTCCGCTTCGTTTCCTAGTGGAATCACAATCGAACACGAACCAACCTGGGCCGGCAGTTATGGCATTGAGCCCCCGACCTTCTCTCTCCTTCCCAAAAAACTTACCGTGTGGCGAAGGAGTGTCCAGCAGAATCCTTCATGTGGATGATGTCGAATGCACCAGGAAGCTTCTCACGATGCCCGATCACACCAACACGACCAACGTTACGTCCTCCAGTGACCATTGCGAGGTTTCCAGCTTCAAACTTCACGAAGTCTGTGATCTTGTTGGAAGTCAGGTCGATGACGACAGTGTCGTTAACCTAAAAGTATATCTTCACTGGTCAGGCAGCGTCAAAACGGTGATAATAACGCACTCATTCTCCGCGGATCGATCGATTTCGTTGCGCGATCCGAAAATCTCGCGAATGCACTGCTAGCGCCCCATAAATGTCCCTTGACAGTTGGAACTACTCGGTCAATCTTATTCAGACAGAATTCTTAACTGAAGGGTTCAAATGAAAGCGGCGAAGCGCGATTGGTCGCGCAATTTCCAACCAGACCTCCGAGTTGCCCGAGTCGTGTAGTATCAATATTCCCTTAGAAGTCTCAGAAAACTCACTCAGCCTCCTTCGCATCACTCATTCAGCGACCCATGCTACAATGATCGATGGAACAGGGAGCCGCCGCGCCAAAACCCATGCGCCGCTGACACACCCAGACTGACTCGTTTGGTAATCCTCATTCTAGTAGCCATGCTTTTGGGTGGGAAGCTGAAGAGGCAGTGGAAGTATAATGTCCAAAATACAATTAAATCAGTCATCCTAGCCTACCTTTACCAAGCCTAGTAAAAATTACAAATCTTGATAATAATAAATCTCTAGTTGCAGTGATGTCCCCCTTCTGACAGGGACACCCTGACGGACAAAGCCATTGAGCAGCCAAACTAAAGTTTGAGCCAGAGGGAAGGTTGAGTAGCCAGATACTAACAGTCAATTGCGATAGCGCTCAATAGGAGGTTCTGCAACTCGGACGGGTATAAAATAAATCACTCAAGAAACATTCTTTTCAAATTGACCAACGATGAGTCATTAACACTACGTTCGTATGATCGTGATACTCTTACAATGAATCGTCTTAAGCCGCGTTCACACCTCGCGACATTGGTGAGTTCCGAGAACCCGCGAAAAAGATTAGATTTGTGTCGACTCCGCTCAAGAACCGAAAAATGATGAAAACAGCAGATCAAAACGATAAGTCCAGCCCTCCCCAGTCCTCCAGTCCAATACAGGCACTTGACCTTTCACGGATGCTCCGATTCTACCAATTCACTGAAAAAGCTCAAAGCGCTATATAGATATCTAATGTTCCTACTTCCATACGCTTCCATTCGAAGTTTCATGTGTTGTCGGACCTCCCTCGCAACACTGGGCGAAAGAACGGAGTGAAACGGTCAAAATCCGGCGAAGAAAAAGCCTCCGTTCTCAGTGACTTCGATTTCGGACGAGTTTCCCGTACGCATCTTGCCAATCACCGCTACCGAAGATACGGCTGCATATGTGTACCCATATATGCATGCAGCATCACCGCCGCTTCATACCAATCCCTTTGCTTCATAATTTGCTCAGCAAATGAATGAATACGAGCGTCAGAAACGGTCGTCCGTTTGTGGGCGGGCGGGCAAGGAAGGCGTTTGGGACGTAAAGTTGTTGCTCAATAGGGCGTTATAGAGGTACCCTCCTTGGAAAAGGCTTCACGCAGCGCCTGTCCGAGGTCACGGAATTCTGTTAAGCCAGTTGTACAAATCCTACACCTGTATAGCGATTTATCGTGCCAACTGCCTTTAAAGCGTTCAAAGCAGCTCACTGGAGCAGATGACCTTATTGCTCATGCCTTCTCTTCTAGGAAACTTCACAAATAGAAGCGCACCTAGTAACCTTCCGAGTAAAGAGCTACATTGAAATAACACACAAATCTCATAAACGTCACAAACCTTGATATGTGGGTCAGGATATCTGATGGTGCGTCCGTCATTGGTAGTGATGTAGGGAATGTTCTTTTTAGCTACATGAAGAGCCTTGACTTTGCAGAGCTTGAACTGACCCTCTGCGGCTGTGATTCTGTGCACGGTATAACGGCCTTTAACGTCATACAGAAGGCGGAAAGTCTCGTTGGTTCGCTCAATGCTAATCACATCTGCAAAGGACTGGTTTCAAGTGCAACATTTAATACAAGTAAGGAATAGAAGAATCTTACCCATAAATCCGGCGGGGAACTTGTGGTCGGTGCGGATCTTTCCATCAACCTTCACAACACGCTGACGCATAATCTTCTTCACCTCGGAATAGTTCAAGGCGTACTTCAGACGATTGCGAAGGAAGAGGTTGAGAGGCAAACATTCTCGAAGCTTATGAGGTCCACTCCTTGGTCGAACAGCGAAAACTCCTCCGAGTTTGTCAAGCATCCAATGCTTTGGTGCCGCTAGACGCTTAAGATGCTTCTTCGGTCCACGAGCCATTTTTGCTCAGCAGGGTAACCGCAAGCTAAACAAATTAGATGAGCGTCGGAACAGAAAATTAATTGTAACACAAGAGAAACATATGAAAGAAAAGCCGTACTAAAAGAGAATGAGAAAAACCCAGTTTCCACTGCTCTAACAAATAGTAAATGACAAACCCTATCCCTGATTCGAAACAATAAAGGAATCAAATCATTGTGAACAAAAGATTCTAATTAACAACTATCGAAACATCTAATGAATGCCGAAACGATCAACTAACAGCAGACCAAGACTGGAGTAATTTAGGAACCATCTAGGAAAATGAGTTTGTTTGAGCGGCAAACGGTGGCTTCCGTCGTGTCAGGACCAGACGCTGTCAAAGCAACGCGTCCTTTAGTTATAGTGTTCCTGATCGGGTCGAAGTCGGTTGGGGAAAATTTTTGGCTCGTCGACTGCACGTTAGAAATTGTGCCGGAATGGTGAAAACCAAGCAGTTCTCGTGATATCCACAATGGTAACCCTAGAGCAGCTATACCTGCTCACGCCATAAAAACCGTGGACGAGATTCTTCACAGTAATGTTTCTTCATTTGCGAAGGGAGTGAGTTTCTGTCAATAACTCCTGTCCATTTTGGGTAAGGCCTTAATTAAATGACGGGTTCCCTCACAATCATATTTATTACGAGTCGTTTCTTTTTAGTCTGTTATAGTGCGTAGGAAAGTGTTGTGAAGGTTTCCAATATAAGAACGACTACGCTCCGCGTTTACGAACAGGTGTTCGAAAACTAATGGTATGATGGTAAACTCTAATTTGCTGCGGACGGTTGGGCGTGTCAGGCAGTATGGTGCGTCACCCCGTTAAAGCCGTTCTCTGCCTTCTTGTTGAAGCGCGCATGGGACTAAAAGTGGGAGAAAACGAGTAAGATGAACGGTATGATACAGTCATATCATTTCTCGCTTTGACAAAGTGGCTGTGGAGACGGGTCTGGCATCGCTGCCAAACTCATCTCCGCCTGACACGCAGCTACTTCGACTTCCGACTTCCGCAGCGATCTACACTACAACCAACAGTGATGAGAGAAAAAACCGCCGGAAAAACCGTTTCACGGCGAGAATTGTACGAGTAAGAAGAGTAGGGCGGAGAGATGTTGTGCTTAGGTGAGTTCTCTCACTTACATGTACAAATATCACAACTACGAGTTCTTTTTCCATATCACTCCTCTCACTACCAACCAGAGATCGCTGAACGTTGGGCATCCTGTTGTCATGAACGCCTAGCATCCTTAATTTTCAAGCAACGAAGGTTAAGATGCTCTACACTTGCGGGACAGAGCCTTGTCCAAGGAAGGGGTCGTACATCAAGTGATCGCCGGACATACTTTTAACATACTGCGATGAAATCATGTATAGATGGTATCGCAATCATTCCGAACGAGTTCCATATGGATGGACTGATCCCTCCTGCGGCATTGGCACCACTGGTTGTTTTCCTCCTAAATCAACCACTACCCAATCACCATTGGTAGCAGCACGAGGCGGACTCATCCCGCCCTCGTCCAACCGCATCCGATGTTACAACCTGTACTTCTTCTGTAGTGCCTGCGGGCTTTGACTCGGGTCATTGAAACACATGAGTGTTTTGCGCTTGTCTGCTCTATGTTGTCTATAGACTGTAACCCACAGTTTATAACCGCTGACAAAGATATGGTACCGTCTTGTCGCTTGCAAAAAAAGAAAAAACCAGACGGGCACTGCCTCAAACGCGACCGCGCCATCATCCGTAGCGAAGAAGACTGTAGACTGGTACGTTCATAACCTACACGGGAATAGTGCAGCCTGTTAGGATAGCCGCTGAAGCAGCCTATAATTTATGCATTCTGTCCTCCTAAAGCGTCTTGCTTTGGAATGCACTCCCGCATTCAGCAGTGGAACCCTTTAAATGGCCCTCACTAAGGTTGCTGATGGAAGATAATTGTGGTAAGAGTGATTACGTCAATTGGAGGGTGTCCACAATCAAAACAACATCGTATGGCCTTTTTTATTATGGATCAATTTGCAATTTTTCTAGCGGTTGTTTTCTTATCTGTTGTTGTTGCTGCGTGCTTCCACTCGAGCGTGCGCTACCCCCTCACCGGACCCCTTCCCTTGCACATGCTCAGGTCCGGCTGAGCACGTGCAGGGGAAGGAAGCAGAGGGGAGGGGTCACTCGGTGCCCCCCCCTCGGCTTCACCCCACCCTGCCCCCGCACGAGCACACGTCCAGCTGCCACCCGAGCAGCTCGTGCAATGGCTCGGAGCGTACCGAATGGTTGTCTTATATATGCTGTTA